CTCCATGTCCTGAATATTGATGACAACATCCACAACTGGTGGGAAAGTAATATTTTTTTCATCAGAGAGAGGTTTTCCTAAATAAAATAATTTGAACTTTCCTAGTTTTAAACCAAACTGTGAACAAATAAATGAGCGAATACTCCACCCACAAGTGTTAGAAACCTTCAGTTTCTCCCTTCTACCATCAATGTTTACAACAATTTTTGACAAATCTGTATGCTTAGAGGATACTTTTTTTTAAATTTTTGAGATAATTGCAAACACATTTGTTTTCTTTTTAAATCTTGTTCTGTTAGCATATTAATGAGGCCACATGACCCTATTTATGCAAATAATATGCATGAATTTCAACGTTAAAGCGCGGTAGTCGTCGCGCTGCGCATGTGCGAGATATATGGGTCTCATATAAACAAAGATGGCGACTTTGACTGTTGAGAAGATCAACGAGTACGAACTAAGACGTTTCCAAACTTTAATAAGGTATTTTTCATGTGATTGGATATATCGAAGGAGTCACCGGCGGTAATCAGTTCAAGTCGCGCCCAGAATAAACCTCATACTTGTGATTTCCATTTGAAGGGCGCATTGGATTGTTGAAAAATCAAGGTTTATCAACACAGATGTAGCACATGCGCAGCGCGACAGCTACCGCGTTTTAAAGTAATCTATGCTTCGCACATACGGGAGCTAAAAACCTTGAATTTTCGTTGCAAACAGAGTGAATCCATCGGTGAGGGCGCAATTACTATCGACGACCATTCGTCTTCACTGTTACATTTTTACATTTTCAAGTGTTTATGTTTTAAACACGTTTCTAGGTACTGCTGGTTATCAATGACTTTTTCAACATAGAATAACGAGTTACAAAATACGTTTAATATATCGTGACGTTTGTAGTTTGTCGTGACGTATCCTTATTTGCTGCAGCCATTATTATCTAAATAAATAAATAGCTGCAAAAGTTACAAGTCAAATGTGGTACCATAAAATAAATTGGACTAAATTAATGAAAAATATATAAAAAGAAAAATATTAACAAACAATGTTTCAGGTTATTATTGTTGGCTTCTTATTTGAGTGTAAGCATGTGAGTTGAGATATTGAGATTTCGTGCCGCGGCCTCTGACTGACAACCGCCCGTCATCAAAATGCGACCGTCATGGTTTGCTATCATAGAGCCTAAACAATCTGCTGCAAGGTTCCATTTTCTCCGATTTAAAGCGACACCGGTGTGACCCGCACATGGAAAAATAGTTTTCATTCTGTATATCAAATATTTATTATTACAACAGTAAAGAAAATCATTTATTTGTAATTTGCTATATATACAATGTTAAACAGTATGTATATTTTAATTTAAGCTGCATGTGTGTACTTGCACCATGACAATCACCACAGATTCTCATATACTATGCGGCATTTCTCTCTTATTCACTATTAAATACTAGTATGACATATGTCGTTATTATCTATACCAATAAAACGTTAAACGTTTCAGAACTGAATGGGAATAGCGGCTTAATATTGGTCCTATCCGTACTCAAATTCTCTCTATCACGATCGATCACATATGTGCCATACAATGCATCAGCCTAGTGTTCGACTCTTCTAATTGCTCATTGCATACGTGGCGTTACGAGGTCGATGTAGAAAAAAAGGATACGACAATATGGACAGACATTTTTTTATGAATTCCGGGATTCATAAATGTCAAGACTCAAATATAAAATATTAGCAATATGATAAATTAATACAAGTATAATACAATCATCTGATGATGGTTGACTATAAATTTTAATTCTGATAGAATTACCCGAGTTTTTGTCCACTTATGATTCAGATTGGTTTGATATATACTACGTTTCATTTTTGACTTTTGATCTGTCATTATGCCACATTGCAGCACTCATTTCACCTGGAACCATATGCAATCTCCTCCCTAATGTGAACATTTACTGATTTCATTTACGGCTTTGTCGTGTGGTAGTATTGGCATAAATTCCTTGCATGTATTCAACCAATTCTAACCTTGCTGAAAGCAGAAATAAGGACCTACTCTTAAGTTGTTGTGATATGTGGTCAATTTAGTTTTCTCAAACTAACTTGCTACAAGAGGTAGAATAACCTTGATTGCACCAATAGTCAATTGAGACAATTAGTATGATTTACTTACAACGATCTCTGCACACAAATAATTAGCCCAGTAATGTAGCATGTATATGTTACCGACATTCCTCTTTTCATTTTGAACCAAATCAAATTAAAATTTATTTGAATTATATATATATATGAAATCCTGAGTATGATTATTCATTAACCACACACTGCAAAATGTCCATCTGTACTGGTATAAAATAGGTTATTGCGGCCGGAAATTATGTAACCTTTGTTATATTATATCCGGAGGATTATTCAAGTAACATTTTTAGAGTAAACAATATTCAATATTAGCAATTGTTAATCAGGAAAGCGAGAAATAATGAAATCCTACACGTCACAACTTGATATATTTGGTATTCACTGGCTCATTGAGGGCGCGGCTTTTCAGAAATACTCCCATCATGCCTTGCAAGCTCCGCCACGTCGCTCTTAGTCGCCATATTGTAGACCATAGTTTGGTTACAGACACGTTTTTTCCAAAATGAACATATTCCGGCTTTTGGGAGACCTGTCCCATTTATTGGCAATCATTATTTTGTTATTGAAGATATGGAGGACACGGTCTTGTGCAGGTAAGTGCGTGCCTTTCTTGATATATTTTGCAGAGTGGAACGAAAAAGGTAAATAAATCGTTCACCGGTCAGCGTGAAAATTGCTACCCTGCCGGTACGGTATGCTGCATTTATGCTACTTAGAGACAGGCATGACTTCTGACGTGGCGATCAGTAATTACAAGGTACAGCTTGGAAGAGAAAACAAACCGCGTTTCATGAGTTTATTCCTTGCGATTCCTAACATTATTAATACTGTTTTGAGAAACTTAATAATTCATTCATCACATCGTTTGCTTCCAATCACTTTCTCGTCGGTCGAAGTCGTTTCATTTTATAATTGCACCACCAGCTGTTTTGCCAAATTCGCAAAATAAATATTACTACACGAGTTTTGAAGACAGTTGTGGGATGCATTATTTTTTCGAATAATACTATAATATCACTCTCCAAATACTCCATTGGTACGGGAGCCAATAACAATGATTAATTTTCAAGATATCTTCGTGGCTTTGCACAGACTCCACAGTGATTGATTGATTCAGCTCCAACGTTACCGCTGATTGCATTACCACAACACTATTGAGCTGTTGAACAATAGGAATACTTCAGTCAATCCAATTGTTGCATTCCATTGACTTTATTGTATAACCAACTCTTCCACTATCACTACATCCTGCTATTGTACACTTTGCATCTAAATGACTAAGAGGTTATGTGCACTCCATCCACATGCATAATAAATTAATGATGTAAACATTCAATAGTTGCCTTGCTTGCATATAAACATGGAACTATAAACCCCAGGAAGAACAACCACTTCGTTTCCTTTGAACTATGATAGTTGCCGCG